ATATGCCCAGGACATTTTACGGTCTCCTTTCAATTGCACCAGACTAAGTTCTTAATAAGAAAGGGATCATCTGCTTCTGAGTCCTTCATTCAGGTGTTTACTCCACAATATTGCAGAGTCTCTGGAATGTAATAAGTGAAGAGGGATACACTACAGAGTAAGACTCGGGCTCTTTTTTTGGGAAGCTCACATGTAGGCAAATAACAGCTAGCAACAGTGGTGCAACAGTAAGGGATAGAGAACTGTGGGAGCCCTGGGAGTCATGAGGCAAGTGTGCGAGGTAAATGGTTTGCTTTCTTCTTATCTATTAGGGAAACCAAGGAGAAAAGGGTAGAAAAATATGATTGAGAATGCAACCCAAGATATGTTAGAAAAAAAGTAATGAGAGAATAAATGACTTAAAATTACTTACCTAATTATACCCTAAGGTACCTTAGAAACATAAATATTTGAAAGCAAAAGATTGTTAATACTGGTTTGCACAAAGCAGAAAAGGCCAAGTCCAAAACTCCAGGCAGATGTTGGCTGCTGCTACTGAGTACTTTTTTTTTTTTTTAGAACTGGTCATTAAACAGATGGTTTATAAGGATTTTGGAAGAAAGTGGTAACTTCCATGATGAACATGGCACAAATCAGCATTTCCCACTTTTCCTCCTGGAAGCTACCCAAAAGCAAGGAGAAGAGAAAGATACTGTAGACCGCAGACTTCATTTTCTGTAAAATCAGGAGAAAGATATAATCTGCTGTCTCCAACGTATGTGCAAGGCCTGTAAAAGCACCTGCAATTGGTTGTAAGCCACACAAAACAAAAAATACAGAAATGCAAAAAAGGGCAGGAGAGCTCAGGGACAGCACATCTCAGAAAATGCTTGCAATAACAAACTCCCTGACAGCAAAGAGCATTTTCTGAAATGCAAAAGCTTAATTCCTCCTTAAAAAGCTTGTGGCAAAGGGGGTCAAAAAAAGGAAGCATGTTCTGAAGTTTAACCTTGACTGCACCCACCCTGTAGAAGATGGAATCATGGATGCTGCTTTTTTGAGCAGTTTCTTCAGGAGAGAATCAAAGTGAATGAAAAAGCTGGGAATAAAGGTGGAAAGAAGCAAGAGCAAGATCACTGTAACTTCTGAGGTGCCTATTTCCAAAAGGTATTTGAAATATCTCACCAAAAAATATTTGCAGAAGAACAATCTCCATGACTGGTTGTACATAGTTGCTAAAAGCAAAGAGAGTTATGGACTGCGTTACTTCCAGATTAACTAGGATGAAGAAGAGGAAGATGATGATTAAAACTCACTTATCTGACACATTTTGTGTGAGTTCTTTTTTTTAAAAAATATATTTTATTGATTTTTTACAGAGAAGAAGGGAGAGGGATAGAGAGTTAGAAACATCAACGAGAGAGATTGATCAGCTGCCTCCTGCACGCCCAGGGCCAGGGATGTGCCCGCAACCAAGGTACATGCCCTTGACTGGAATCGAACCTGGGACCCCTCAGTCCGCAGGCGGACGCTCCATCCACTGAGCCAAACCGGCTCGGCTTGTGTGAGTTCTTGAATAAAACTTAAGAACCACAAAGAAAAAGCTTGATTCCTTATTTGTAACATCTTATGCAGGAATTGGGGTAAGAAGACTTTGCCAGAAATGCTCTTAGAACTAAACATGTGGAACAATCTAAAGACTCACAGAGGAGCCATATTTGCAGGAAGCAGAATGACTCTGTGGCAGCACAGAAGGAGAGAGTGTGAGTGAGAAAGACAGATAGCATGAAGACAATCACATCTTTCTCTACCACAGGAACTTCTTTCTTGTAAATTGCTGTTCAGAAGTGTCCTTTTAATTGGATGATGAACAACCATAACATTCATACAAAGATATTATTAGAAAACAAGTAGAAAAAGAGCAAGCAAAATTTACTAACAGATATAAAACACACATCAGGTAAATGATGTCTTGGGACAAATAAAATACGTGAGCAAATATTTTCTTATGAATTTTTAAAACCACACTTAAGCCCTCACTCTCTGTAGGAAGCAATAATAACCTTTATGGAAGAAGATCATGACATGGAAATGCAATAACTCAACGAAGAGAAGGAACTATTTCAAAGTACTGATATGGAAATATCTTCGAGACATACTATTGAGAAAATGAAGATGTGTAAAACATATGCAGAATGTTACCAATGAGGTATAAAAGCAGGGAAAATAAGTTTCACTAAAAACTAATAAGAACATCATCCAATTAGCTTTTTTTCCCTTTTTGGCAGGGTTATTGGACTGGGCCAAGAGGGTGAAGCTAGAGATTAAGCTTATCCTGAGATCACATTCAACAAAAGTCAGGTCATCTTTCTTTCTGGACTGGATGGAGGATGTGGGCTGGACCTGAGTCCAGGTGGGTTCATTTGACTACTTCCTTAACCAAATTCAAAGGGTGCAGATTAGGCTATTCAAATTTTGAAGAAAGGGAACATCCTTGGCCTCTTTCTGCTTAATAATTTTTGAATAAAAATTTGCCTATTAAATTTGAAAATCACACAAAAGAATTTTAAAAGTAAATAAAATAATCCATTGGCTCTAGTAAGGAACTAAAAATAACATGATAAACGCATGAGTGGAATAAATACAAGAAATTGAGCCCTAGCCTGTCTGGCTCAGTGGATAGAGCACCGGCCTGTGGACTGAAGGGTCGCGGGTTCAATTCTGTCCAAGGACACATGCCCAGGTTGCAGGGGCCATGGAGGAGGCAGCTGATCAATAATTCTCTCTCACCATGGATGTTCCTATCTCTCTCTCCCTCTCCCTTCCTCTCTTAAATCATTAAAGAAATATCCAAAAAAAAAGATTAAAAAGCTGACAAAAATCAGCTGTACACTAATATAACCTAAAATTAGATCATATAAAAATAATTTTTGTTTTAATTGACTAAACACTCAAGTAAAATGGCCCCTAGACTTAATTTAAACTTTAATTACATTATTATAAGTACAGTACTCAAAATGGCAGTGTTTGCTGTCACTCTGTACCCACCACTTATCAGAACACATATGCTGTCCTGTATTTAGTTTTAGTGAAATATTTTAAAGCAGACAATGATAACCTGGATATTTCCAGAGGAGTGGACTTAGAATTTCAGACTATTTCAAAGTCACTCTTATAGAAGGAAGGAGTCGAGGATGTTAGCTTGAAGATAGAGATGGAAAGGATGTTTCATAAAACCCTCCAAATATTTGAACAACTGCCATTGGAAGGTTGGAATAGACCATTTTCTAAAAATTCAGAGACATAACTAAGATCAATTAGTAGAACTTATAGGAAGTAAGATATAGGATCAACAGTAAGAATAATTTTGTAATAATTAGAGATATCTAAAGTTTAAGACATCAATAGCCTAAGACTGTATGAAAAGTTACCTAACCTTATCAATAAATGCAAACCAAAACAACCAGATGCAACTTAAAAAATTATTTTTGGGGCTATTAGATTAGCAAAAACCATAGAGAATGACAACATTCAGTCTAGGGAAACATGTGGAGAAATAAGCAGGCTTAGCCATTGCTGGTGTGAGCGGCAACTGGTAGAATTTGCCAGACTATAACAAGTATGTACTTGTTAATCCAGCGTTTTCATTTCTAGGCATCTCATTTAGAAATATTCACGGGCAAGCTATATGTTCAAGAATATTTAGTGCAAACCTTTTCACAATAGCAAAGAAAGAAAGAAAGCTAAATATCAATCATGGATTGAAGAATAACATTCTGGTATATCCATGCCCCAGACTATTATGCATCTATTAAAAGAATAAAGCAAATCTATCTGTACAAATTCAGGACTTAGTACTAAGGGAAATCTTAAGTTTCAGATTGCTAGTGTAATCTCCTTATAAAACAACAACAACCAACCCACAAGGATGTTACTTGTTGGCACACGCACAGAAAGCCACCTCCAAGGAAACAGACAATGGGTCACATCTGGAGAGTGGGGCAAATGGTGGGAGCACAGGGGGGCTGGAGACACTTTTGTAGTTTTGAATTCACATATGAGCATGTTAGGTTTTTGTAATTAAAGAAACAAAGAGCCTCATCAGCGTGGCTCAGTGGTTGAGCATCAACCTAGGAACGAGGAGGTCACAGTCCGATTCCCGGTCCAGGCACATGCCAGGCTTGCAGGCTCGATCCCCAGTGTGGGGCATGCAGGAGGCAGCTGATCAATGGTTTTCTCTTACCATTTATGTGTCTATCTCTCTCCCCTTCTCCCTTCCTCTCTGAAATCAATAAAAAATATTTTTTAATAAATAAAGACTTTTAAAAGTGGAAGGGTTGATTTGGGAGGTGGTGAGTTCTCTGCTCCTGGACTGCTCAAGCACAGGCCCAAGGAAGCGGGGTTGGTAGGGAGGGAAGACAGTTGAATGAGATGACCTCCGAGTACCCTTAATATCCTGAGTCCTCGACCCAGTCTGCTCCTCCTCTCTCCTCTAATGCACCCAGGAGAAGCTCCAACAAGGCAAAAAGAAAATAGAGTATATTAAAAAGGAGATAAATCCAAGTAATTACTGCAGAGACCTTGTGAAATCCATGACCAGCAGGAAGCAGCCAGTCCTGCCTGATACACCATACACCGCTCCTGCAGTGCCGATTGGTTTCACTAAATTTGGGCTGAGTGGCTGGACAGGTGTAAGTGAGGCCAGGAAGCTGACATGGGGTTTAAGGCACTTGGTAATTCAAGCCTTTGGCAAGAGTTCCCATGAGTTGGTGGATTTCCTTCTTTCCTCCACGGTCAGGTGGAGAACATGGCCCTTGGTTACCCCAAGCTCCTCTTCCTTGCCACACGCAGTGCAGTTGACATCTACCCTGCCAGTTTTGAGGCAGAGGGTACCCTGTGACATTCAGCCAGGCCTTTGGAAAGTTGCTATTTCTCAGTGCTGGAGTCTCAGGGGCCTGCCAGCTTTTTTCTGCTCCCACCCACAAGCAGCGGTGGGATCCCGGCTGTACTTTCCTGCTTACCGTTTATTGGCTACGAACAGCACTCTCCCTGAGAGGGTTTCCCCTTCCTTGGCAAAGAGAGGAGTCTGAAGAAGGCACCGCACCTGGTACCAGTGGGTCAGAGGCTCGGTTGGGGCTGTGGACAGCCAAACTGTTACCCTGTAGGGCAAGAAAAGAGTTGAAAGCCAATTATCTTCCAGGCCTATATTAATGGACTAGAGGCCCAGTGCATGAAATTCGTGCACTGGTAGGGTCCCTAGCGGCTGCCGGCCGGGGCCTCCCTCCCTTCCCCCCGGCCGGCCTGTCCCCTGGTTGAACTCCCAGAAGAACTCAGGTCGAGGGGACAATTTGCACACTACTCTTTTATTATATAGGATTGGATTGGGGACTTAGGTTGATAGATAATTTTCATGGTTTTTGACTTATGGATCCCTTTTAAGATAATGATAGCTCAACTTATTGAGCAGTTATTATGTGCTGTGTACTGTCCCAGGAGCTTTATGTATATTAGCCCATTAAATCTACACAACAACCCTATGGAGTAAGCCTGGAGAGGTTAAAGGACTTGCCCAATGTCACATGGAGGGCAACTGGAGAGCCAGGCTTCCCATCCATTGACATATTTCTGAATCAAAGTTCATGAGAAACCCAAAAAATAACAGTTAAATTGGGAACTGATTTGTTTAAGAAGTTTGGGGTCTGGGCTCTTAATGACTCATGCCAACTTGTTCAGGGGTCCTGATGAAGATTCTGGAAGCAAGAAAAAGTACTGGAGCCCTAGCCAATATGGCTCAGTTAGTTGGGCATTATCCTGTGCACCGAAAGGTTGCTGGTTCCATCCCCTGTCAGGGTACATGCCCAGGTTGGGTTGAGGGCTCGATCCCTGGCAGGGGGGCATTAAGGAGGCAGCCAATCAATGTTTCTCTTTCACATCAATGTCTGTTTGTCTGTCTGTCTCTAAAAATTAGTAAAAATCTAAAAAAAGGAAAACTACTGGAGTGCATGACCTCCACCTCCCTTCCGGCTTAGATATCCTGTGTGTGTGTGTGTGTGTGTGTGTGTGCGCGCGCGCACACGAGGTAGTGTTTAAATTGAGGTTCTTCATTTCAGATGAAGAAGTGAGAACATCTTGCTGTGCTCTGAGCACCGCAGCCACTTGCCGTGGAGCTGGCAGTGATGTTGGCTTATAGGGAGTATGTGCATGTTAAGCGCGGGGTAAATTTTCAGTGTATATTTTGGTTTTTTTTGTGTTTTTTTTTTCTTTTCAAATTAATTAAAGTCAAGTTTTCAAATTAATTAAATTTAGCTAATTTGAAATAAGTAATTGTTCAAAAAGTATTAACAAAAATTTTCATTTTGTGGTAAAATTGCTTATCATGCTATGAACCTAAAGCAGTCATATTTTTGTGCAAAAAATTAATATTTAAAGCTATCTAGACTGCATTATAAAATTTCCAAAAGTCTTCTAATTAAATCAAAAAAAGGGGGATAGTGGAAAAATATAGTGGAAAAATGCCATGTAAGGAAATAGATCCTGTAACTAAATTACATTTAGAGAAAAAATTTTTCGTTTATAATGCTAATAGTGAGACACCCGGGAAAAAACACACATGATGCCAGGGTAAGCCAGGGAAAGATCATTTTAAAGAAAAGACCCCAAGTAAGGTTTTTTCCTTTAACCTTTGGTCGAGAATATGTTTGTATACTTTCAGAGAACAGCTACAAGACCATGTGGATTCCTGTAACAACGGATCTCAGAAAGCCAGCCACAAAGACAGTTCAGAGATGGAGATGGTGGAAGACGCCTTGCCATGCTAGCAGTCAGCAGCTGTGCGTCGCTGCAGCGTGCCCAGGACCAGACCAGAAAGGACCGGACCTGCATTTTCCACCATCCAGAACCAACATTTCATTGCTGGCATGTACACATGAACTTTTGGACATTGAAACTTGGACTCAGAACTTTTGGACATTGAAATTGGGACTTGATTATTTTTTAAAGAAAAAATAAGGGGGAGATGCCGGAGTCCATTCATTGTCTTCACTAGCTGAGTTTAGACAGAAACCCCCCCCCAAAAGCTAGTAGCCATTGAAAGTCCTAGTAAAGGTCAGGGCTGTGTACCACTCAGTTAATTTAGATAATAACCTTCAGTGTATATTTAGACTTGAAGATTTGGGGGACAAATTTTATATAAGTTACTAAGTAGTATAAACCGCTTTTATACCAAAATATATTTAGCTATGTTACAAAGTAGAATGCAAATGTTCTATAGCTGTTAAAGATAACGCTTTTAACTTCAAAGAAATGTCCCGCTGGAAGCAGGCCACTGAAAGCTTGTTGCCATCACCTTCTCAGGAACAGATTCATTTACTTGGGATATTTACTGGGGGAAAGTCTTAGGGAAAAATGTATGGAATCTTTGAATGGACATGCTTATGTGGTGTAGGAATGACCTGCACATCATTTTCTTTCTCTCTGCCAGCCTAGGCAAGGCTTCCAGGGACCCCCTTCTCCCCGAACCCCAAACTTTATCACAGATCCATGGGCCCTTCTTTTTCAGCAGGTGCAAAGACAAGCCTGGATGGTGCGATAAGGGGTAGAGGAGAGGGTACTGTGAAGGGGTTCCTTTTGTCTGGTCATTTGACTCAAAGCAAATCTCTTTGCTAGCTGGAGCACTGGAGCAAGCCCAGGAAGAGGGCCGAGAAGTCAGGAGAGCAAAGATGTGGGGTGTGGGAGTGGCGAAGCCTTTACAAGGAGCCCCAAGTCCTAACGGTCAACTTGTAGGTGGTTTTTAATCCTCTTTTAAAGCCCTGCAACTTCCAACCCTTTGCAGTAGGGAGAAAGGAGTGAGTGCAGGATGGAGAAGTTACCTAATGTTGCAATTAGCATCAGCACGACCAGCCTGCCTGGTCATTAAAAAGGGATCCTAGACTGTGAAAGCAAAGGCTGTGAATGGGAGAAAGAATGACACGAGGTATTACCCCAGACACAAGAGATTCTGCAGTCAGGTGGGATGGTTGCCCCTCCACATCTATTCTGGAAAAAAGCAGGAGGGTAGATAAAGCATAGACCCTCTCTCACTCCTTCCTTTGAGCCAGAGTCGATATGACACTATGGAAAACCGTCTTATTTTCAGTTCACCCTAAAATCTGAAAGTAACACTAACATCAATGCTTATCTTCTTGGAATGCATAAAAACCAGTATTGTTGCAGTTGAAATTAATTTTAAAACATTTTAAAGGTATGATTAGAAACAGCAGAGGACAGCATGGGAGAGAGGAGGTAAAGAAGGGGGGTGATACCTACAGAGATCCGACAAAGGCCACGTCAAACCAGAACGCCAGGCCGTGGATGAGGCCAGACTGTGTCATCTGAAACACAAAGGGGATTTCTACTCTGCAAGGAAACAAAAGAGAAAGAAGAAACATTTTCTTGTTGACAGACATCCTGGATACTCTTGTGAGATGAGTGGGAACACTCACAGAATATTTTCCTTCTCTCTTAAGTGCTTTGGCTTTGGCAACAAGATTCTCTCGGTGTGATTAATGCTGGGGTGACGCTGCATATTTGAGATTGTTGCTCTTGACAAAATTCTGCGAGGACCACACCACTGTGCTGCAACGACCCAGAGCACCCCTGGGCGAGTGCAGCACCTGGAGCCGCGTTTGACTACTGAAGAGGGGGACGGCCCAGGACACAGGTGACAACCATCCTTCAAGAAGCCAAAACATGGGCTCTGGCAGTCCCCCTGCGCAGCTGTTCAAACGGAAAGGCTGCTCAGGCCTCTGAAAAATGAAGTGGATTGCAAGCTCCAAAGGTCATTGCCATAGTTCATTTACTTTTCAGGGAGGCAATTTAACTTCCCACCAGGCTACCGCAGAAGTCATGCAGAAGTGACCACCGTTTATGCCAAACGCAGAATAAGTGGGAATGGAAAGAAGATTGGAAATGATACAACAACATCCAGATGCTGGACCTGCTTTACTGTGGGACCTTCCAAAGTTACTTCAATTCTCTGAATCTCGGTTTTTTCATTTGTTGAAGCGTAACAAAATCTCCTACTTTCATCACAAGGTTCTTGTGAATGTCAAATGAGGAAAACAATGTATATGAGAGTGTTTTGAAAACTTTAAAGCAGGGGTCCTCAAACTACGGCCCGCGGACCACATGCAAATACAAATATTGTATTTGTTCCCGTTTTGTTTTTTTACTTCAAAATAAGATATGTGCAGTGTGCATAGGAATTTGTTCATAGTTTTTTTTTTAAGCTATAGTCCGGCCCTCCAACAGTCTGAGGGACAGTGAACTGGCCCCCTGTTTAAAAAGTTTGAGGACCCCTGCCTTAAAGTGTTTCACTCTTGAACAGCAGTATTACGGGTCCATGGCCGGGGCTGTATTCCTCCAAGGAGACTTATTTTAGTGAGTGCTCTAGAAACTTTCAAAGAGGGTTGTACCTTATTTGCAGGTATGCTGCCCCCAAAGGTCTAACTTCCTCCACCTGCAGTGTCAGCGCATTCCTGGAGATTTCCATTGTACTTGTCACATTGAATTTGTTGGTATCGTATTACAATTATTTCCTCCCATTTTTGGCATTCCTCTAAATCAGGGGTTCTCAACCTTCTGGCCCTTTAAATACAGTTCCTCATGTTGTGACCCAACCATAAAATTATTTTCGTTGCTACTTCATAACTGTAATGTTGCTACTGTTATGAATCGTAATGTAAATATCTGATATGCAGGATGGTCTTAGGCGACCCCTGTGAAAGGGTCGTTCGACCGCCAAAGGGGTGGCAACCCACAGGTTGAGAACCGCTGCTCTAAATGGATCACGAGCTCCTACCTGGGCATGCACCAGCGCAGTGCCTGGCACACAGTAGGATCTCAATAAACGTTTGTTGAATCAATGACCAAATGGATAGATGACATCTCAGAGTTTTCAAAAACCTTCCTGGAACTCAGGAGGTAGCCCAGAGCAGCCAATGGAGCCAGTCGGAATCACTCTTGTCTGGCCCTGCGGTAGTTACTTTGGTAGTTCACACACGCCAGTTCTCTTGCTCCAAGCATACAGTAGGGTTGCATTTACTCACTCACTTGAGTTCAGGTACCGCCATGTGATTTATGTTGACCAATTAAATGTGAACAGAAGTGCACTGTGTTGTTTCCAGGCACAAACTTTTATTGCCAGTGCATATTTTGCTACACTCCTCCTTTTTTCTCAGGGACTGGCATCGTTGCAGACAGAGGCTGCCACACCAGCCTGACTGAGGAGTGACTGAGGGGTGTGCAGAGCTGAAGCTGGTGCATGATGGATAAACAGTGTAGGGGAGAAAGACACCTGGGATATTACAAGCACTAAAGATCCTTTTTTGTTACTGCAGCATGTTTTGGCCTATCCTGACTGACACCTTTTGTCCATTGTGATCTCAAGGTAGGCAATGGTTTGAGTCAGCCAGCTGCATTTTCTAAAGTCTGACCCTTGATTCCTCATGAGTCCAAGCAAATTATAATCTGGCTGGGTCTTAAATTTCTTACCCAGAAAAGAAACACATAAATATTGATCTTCTCGGGAAGGAAAAAACAAAATACTAGTGAAAGGTCGCCCAAGAGGATTCATATCACCATCTGAGAAATGAGTCCTCAGTGCAGAGTCTCTTTAAGTGGAGAGAAGGAGGGCAAACGCTATAGCATTGATTGAGTGCCTTCTTTGAAAATGAGCCAGTGCCTGTAAAATATTTAGCACAGTACCTAGCATGTAGTAAGCACTCATCAGATTGTAGCTCTTCTTGTCATTCTTATTGGCACTGACCTGGGAGAATTGTTAAAAAGCCCAGACTCTGAACGGTTCAAGTCCTAGCTCTCATAACATTTATTCATTCTGTGACCTTATGCAATTGATTGCTTCACTCTGCCTCATATTTATCATTGGTAAAATGGACATAACAATAGTACCATTTGCATGGTGCTGCTGTGAGGATTAAATGAGTCATATGTTAAGGGCTCAGAATAGTGTCTGGTTATAGAAGTAGAGATATACTGTTTAATTTTTCTCATTCAATTATTAAAACAATCCTTACCCTTATTCTGCAATAAGGGAAACTAGTGCTAATGTACTATTCCCGTGTGTGACTCAGACCTCAAATCTCTTCCCTGCGTGAGCAGCATATCTCTGCACTGCAGTTTTGGGGATGGGAGAGCTAGAGAGGAGATTTAAAAATCTGGAGCGTCTCTGATTGGTACAAACCTGTGGAGATCTGCCTCTTTTGCATCCATAAAGTTCACTGTGTACTTGACTGATCGAGCCATCAAAATCCTAATGTCAAATGTGTCCTGGGGAAAAAACACACAAAGATGTTATCTTTCTGTCAGGACAGACTGAATTCAAGCAAGATTGATTGCAGTCTAGCTTTTCTCCTGGAATTTTAAGTCAGTAAGGGTTAGACTTTAGAAGGCATGAACTTAATGAGAATAATATTGCTAATACAAGCTAACATTTGTTTAGTGGTTACTATATGCCCAGCCCTAAGTATTTTGTGCTTTACTAGGCTATATCAATCTTCACAAATTCTCTGGAGCAGGCATGTGGTGGTTTTTGACCAACCAGAATTGATCTCTTCTCCACATTCCAAGAAGTTGAACAGTAACTAAGTTCACTGGACAATCAGGCTTTATCGGAACTAATTCTGGGGCTTTTGTCCAAGTTATTAGGAAAAGGCAGGCTCTTCTTTGGGACTCAGAGTTTTAAGAATCTGAGCCTGGAGCTTCCGCAACATCTTCCTGCCCTGAGGGGGGCTCCTGCCTAGGAACAGAGTTACATCAGAGGAAATGGGGATACGTGATGAGGATCGAAAAACCAGAGCCTGGGGCACTGTCCGAACGTCTGCAGCAGGTCCCTGAAGCAAGCTCTATCTCCAGGCTTTGCATTTGAGGATCGAAAAACCAGAGCCTGGGGCACTGTCCGAACTGCAGCAGGTCCCTGAAGCAAGCTCTATCCCCAGGCTTTGCATTCCTTGAGGGCCTGTGATTCCATTTCAGCTTAAGCCAGCGGTTCTCAACCTGTGGGTCGCGACCCCTGAAAATACATCCTGCATGTCAGATATTTACATTACGATTCATAACAGTAGCAAAATTACAGTTATGAAGTAGCAACGAAAATAATTTTATGGTTGGGGGTCACCACAACATGAGGAACTGTATTAAAGGGTCACGGCATTAGGAAGGTTGAGTACCACTGGTTTAAGCCATTTGAGTTGGGTTTCCTTCCACTTACAACTGGAAGAGTTTCAGACAACGCAAACATCAAGTTGCCCAAGGTTACACGGCTAGATGGAGCCACAACTGAAACCCCAATCTTCTTGCCAGCAAAGCGCCTCTTCTAAGCTATTTATTTACAACACTTCCTCTTCAATTGCGCCTTGGACCACTGGAATCAATGGGAGGATGTGAATTATTGAAGAAGTGGGAAGGCTGAGTGTGTGCAGGGGATGCGTTTGAGCAGAAAGAAAATTAGGAGTCACTTATTGAAAGGCAGTCCTCAAATCGCCTTGCCTTCAACAGTACCATTCTCTGAGAATTTTCCTAATTGACTGGGAGATCAGCGCTGGAAGACTTGAAAACATATGCTCTTCTGTGATGGCTCAGCACCCAGCCTGGCAGCACGGTGTATGCAGGCTCACGAGTGCGTGAATGAATGAATGAATCAACAGATAAACACACGGGAGGAAGCCTGTAAAGAGGACACACTTACAACGATTGGCTGTCTGAAGTATTCATCCACTGCAGCAGCCCGGAGACTGGACAGGTTGACCCCATAGAAGCACTGCTGGTACCTGAAATAGCATAAAGTATCACCATGTATCTCATCCCATCTCTCCCCTGAGTCCCCAAGCCCAGCATAGCTGTGGTGTTCAAGCTCCTCACAGGTCATCTAAGTTAGCTCTGGAGCAAGAATGAGGCCATGTGAAGGGCAACTGGTCAGTAGGCAGCAGCAGAGCTGAAAATGTTCTCTAAGACCTGCACTTGACCTGTGCTGGGCAAGAGAGAAGGGAGGGTGGAGCTGAGGTAAAGGAAATTTCTTGTGGGGAGAACAATGAGAAGGATATGGGGGGTGGGGGTGGGGAGGAAGGCCTTTGGGCTCCCATCCTTGACCTCATGCCCCATCCTTGATCTCATGCCTGCTGTATGACACTCTATGCAAGTCCCAAAATACAATTTCTGGGCCCTCTCATTAGCCTAACCCAGAGCACGACTTTAGATCTGCAAAGCCTCTGGACACTCCTGCTGTTTTGGGAAATGGATTTTCCTTTTCTGTCCTTCCGTAGCCACTGGCCTGCACCTTCACGATGGCCTTTGCTGTCGTGGCAGACACGGGCAGTCACAGTGAGTGACGGCTGGATTGTCACAGTCCATTGTGCACACTTCTCCTCAATTCTGTGGTCAGTGACACCCGGCAAGTGCTACAAATCCTGCTTTCTCCTTCAGTGCCCCAGCTGTACACAGTCACCAGCGACCACTGCCACCTGCAGCACAGCCAGGGCTCTTTGTCATGTTGCCTAAAGGTCTTGGTTATTTAGGGAGGAGATCCAGTATCTGGATTAAGACTAGCTTTGTTCAAACTCTGCAGATGACTGGCTGTGTGCCTTGGGCAAGTCACATGAACTCTCAGTTTTCTTATCTCTAAAAAGAAAAATAATGCAAAGCTCACTTTGTAGGGTTACAGTAAGGATTAAATGAGTTAATACAAGCAAAGCCCTTGAGCAGTGCTTGGCATTTAAAAAAAAATCTTTATAGTTGAAATAGACTAGCTTTGTTCAAACTCTGCAGATGACTGGCTGTGTGCCTTGGGCAAGTCACATGAACTCTCAGTTTTCTTATCTCTAAAAAGAAAAATAATGCAAAGCTCACTTTGTAGGGTTACAGTAAGGATTAAATGAGTTAATACAAGCAAAGCCCTTGAGCAGTGCTTGGCATTTAAAAAAAAATCTTTATAGTTGAAATTACTATCTATGTGTCTTCCTCCTCCCCCCCCCCCCCGCCAACTCTTCTAGTCAGCCCCCAGGACTTCACTACCTTATTGTCTGTGTCCATGGGTTATGCATATATGCATACAAGTTCTTTGGTTGATCTCTCTCTCCCACCCATCCTTCCCCACCTTCCCTCTGAGGTCCCATAGTCTGTTCCATGATTCTGTGTCTCTGGGTTTATTTTGTTCATCAGTTTATTTTGTTCATTAGATTCCACATGAGTGAGGTCATGTGATATTTATCTTTCTCTGACTGGCTTATTTTGTTTGGCATTTTGTCACTGCTGTCTAAGAGTCTCCTGTCATTCTCTGAACTTCACTTCAGCGCTGGGGACTAGGGCAATGGTTCCCAATCTGTAAAAATTCAAATTCCCAGGTCCAACTCTAGGAAGGCTTGGGACCTCACTACTAAAGAGTGAGGGCTTTTATCCTGAGATTAAAAAGAGGTTTACTAAGGGTGTGTGTTATATAGCCTCTCAATCAGATGGGAATTTAATTTTTCCATCTCCATTCCCCCCAAGTCCACCTGCCAATATGGAGGGAAGAGAGAGAGAAAAAACAAAACAAAGCACAGAATAAACATTAAAATCTGTGGTGCACTTATATTTTGATGGAAGGCACAGCCAAAGGAAGGCTCTACAACAGGAGGCAAAGTCTCTGATGCTCCCGAGAGACGCAGGAAAGCATCATAGTGTTAACTCAACTGCCAGTCCTCAACCTCCAAGTGCAATGCAAGCCCCACTGAGCTCCTTACAGATCCTGAAGAACTTGTCCTATTTCTCATCTCTGAGCCTTTGCTTGTTTTCCCTCTACCTAGAATGACCCTTTCCTTTTTTTACCCTGTTAATTCCTATTCAATCTTTATGAATTAGATGAAATATTTCCATAATGTAAAAATGTAAAACCTTGTGTGACAATGAAATATTCAAGTTTCACCCACTTAAAAAACAGAAGTATTTTCTTTTTCATCAGTGTATATCTAGCACTTAGCATGGGACCTCACATACCAGTAGGACTGAAAATGTCTACATATAAATCTATATATTTATATAATGAATGAATGGAGAAACTGGTGTCCTAAACGGCCCTATGTGTGAGCACAAGAGCCAATAAGGATAATGGAGAAATGGAAAATCATTCCTCCAAGTTTCTTCAGGTTCGTGACTTGTTTCTTAATCTTTTCCTTCCACCAGGGGCGAGAGCCAGGCTGGCCTACAGGTAAAGGAGAACAGTGCTGCGTATCATTTTACAAACACACATCTTGAAAACAATCTCCTATAGTCCTAGAAAATGCTTGGGAAACACAATACTGTATGTTTAAACAATCTTTTCAGATTTAGAAGGATATGGACGTGTTCGTGGGGAAATAAGTCATTGTCACAAAAGTTTTTATTGGAGGAAAGGAGGAGGAGGGTAGTGAGAGAGGGAAAAGGAGAAAGAGAGGGGGGAGGGGGGGAGAGAGAGAGAGAGAGAGAGAGAGAGAGAGAGAGAGAGAGAGAAGAGAAAGATGGAAGGGTCAGACAGAGTCAGAGAGGCAGACAGACAGACAACTTCCCAGAGAGCCCAGAAGGACTCCACCTTGTCCTTCCTTTAGAATCCCCTGAAAGCTTTTTAAAAGTGCTGAGGCCGGGACTGCATGCTCCCCCCGCCCCCCACATACACATTTGTGATTGATTTGATCTGGGGGTACAGCCCTAGCACTTATTTGTTTCCAATTCAATAGGTAATTCTAATGTGCAATCAGGGTTGAACACTACTAAGTTAGCTGGTCTAGAATTCTCGCCAAGTAGGTGAAAGAGAAATCCCCAAGAGCAAAGACAGCCCCTGCCTGGCAGTGGCTGAGGTTGAGAACGGCTCTCTGTTCTTCGCATACAACCACAGCTCTCTGTGCCATTTGCTTTGTGTGTTCAGTGCCAATTAAAGCCCAGTAGCCATGATCAGTGTGGCGCAAATGGGCACCATTCCTTGGGCAGACGGAGAGTTGTGGGCACAGAGCCCACTACCTGGGTTTTAAAAATTTTCTGGCTGGACTTTATTTCTAATTCTTAGAAATCTCAAATCTCCTGAAATGCATCATAAAATGATTAAAGCAGATGGGAGCTGGCATCTCTCTGGGTCTCCTACGATACATGGTGGGGGGATGGATTAGGAAATGAATCTGTTGACTTAGAAGCTGGGGATCATTATCATTATATGTGGGTTTTATTTTCCAACTTAACTTATGATCCCTTTAGAAGCACGTAAGGCAGAATCTATGTGTGTGTGTTTTTGTCCTGTCTTCTAAATTCCAAGTGCTCTCCTCCCCCCATCCTGCCCGCCCCCTATACATGCAGCATCTGGAACCTCCTACAACTACAGTCCAGAAGGAAAACCATCTTACTGTTAGTTATGCCTAAACATACCCACAATGCAGAGAAAGGGGCAAGCCATTTACCATCACCTTAACTTCTCCACATTCTCTACGCTGAGCCTAGCTCAGGGAAGCAGCCAGGAGAACCTCCCTCCTCCAGCCTCTCTTGTTCTTGTAGTCGCTCCTCTAGTTCACCTTGGTCTTTTGTCCCTCCTCCCCACCAGTGTCTGGATCTGTCTTAGAAGGAGGGTGGTACAGCCTTGGGCTCTCTTGCATTAGTTGGCACTAGTCTCCAGATTCAACAGAAGAGAGCTTCTCCAATGCGAGCATTCCTTTCTCTTGCTCATATGAACACACTCTCTCAAAGCATAACTCAGATATTTTACTTTAATAAAATCTTTGCTTCTTCACTCTAACAAAAAAAATCACTCAATCCACATCAAAAGCTTCCTTCCTTTAAAAAGATCAAAAACATTAAGAAAATATAATGAAGGAAGAAAGGAGACAAGAGGGAAGGGAAACCTCATTCTGCTGTTGGACAGTTAAACAACTTTTGGGTATCTTAATGCACTATACTTTATTGAAATTAACAACCAAGGGATGCCAATCAATGAAAGTCATATATTACCCTAAGAACTAGAAACCAAAAGCAAGGATCCAAGAATGTCACCTATGTCACATAGGGTACTGAGAATGCAGCATAAGAGGGTGTTTGGAATGGCCTGGTGGGAACACTGATAGGACAGTGATGGCGAACCTTTTGAGCTCGGCATGTCAGCATTTTGAAAAACCCTAACTTAACTCTGGTGCCGTGTCACATTTAGGAATTTTTTGATATTTGCAACCATAGTAAAACAAAGACTTATATTTTTGATATTTTATATATTTTATATATTTAAATGCCATTTAACAAAGAAAAATCAACCAAAAAAATGAGTTCATAGGTTCGCCATCACTGCTGATAGGAGAATGATGGCTGTCTAGGAACAAATTGCATCTTTATTCAACTTCTTATACATCCCTTACATATGGCAGGACTAAAGGCTTGGCTGTTTCTGATAATTTTATGCATCAGCAGAATGCAGATGTACCATCGTGTAAAGATGCTCAACTCATTTTGTGTCTGGTTTTGCTGATTTAAACCCCATCAAAATAATGCAGCTGATATTTTACATGTGCTATATTTATATACATTTTGTATTTGTAAAATATGTTTTTTAGTACAAAGGAGAGGGGGAAATGGGTGCACAGGCCTTAAAAGAATCCAAATTTCAGATGTGGCTCTTCTGTAAGAAGTGACAGAAAGCCTGTCAGAAGGAAGAGTGTCAAGACAATTGTGGGTAGTGGACATCTTTTGTTTGTTCTACCAGCAAATGGCTGCTCTTCTTCTGTTAATGACAACAGATCTTCTGGGAGATACCTCTTGCCCGCTTTCTGTTCTTGTGGTTTGGATGGTC